AAAATGGGAAGAGAATGTTCCAGTGAGAAGGGGAACGAGACGAGGGAGGCAGAAAGGAAAGAAGAGTCAAGAAGAAAGAGAATAGAGGAAGAAAACAGGCACAAAGCTTTTGTAAATAAGGGGGGGGGCTGAAGGGAGGGGAGGGGAAAGGAAAAAAAGCAGCAAGATATATCACGTACAGGTACAAACTCCCTATAACAAATGTTATCATTATGTATATCCAAAATGTACCAATTAAAAAAAAGAAGAAAGAAATGTAAAAACTTGCTACCTTAAAAAAAGGGTCTGGTCAATGACCACCTTGGCCCTGGCCTGACTGTGGGACAGGCCCCAGTGCTCCCGGCACTGGCACTCCGTCAAGAGACCGGGACTGGCAAGGGGACGGGGGCCTCCACCAGCGGCACGGACCCTTTCCAGGACCCTGTGAAGGCCTCGTGCTCAAGCTACAGACAAGACCCCCGAGGACTCTCCCCAGCACAAGGACAGCGGCCAGGCCACTCGGGTACCCAAGCTGCTGTTCGCACAGATGAGTCTGTAAATCCACTCTCCCCGACTCCCGCTCTCTCTGCTCTTTTTTTTTTTTAACTGCAGTGTTGGGGACGCAACCCAGGGCCTTGCAGTGCTCGGCAAGCTCTCTACCACTGAGCTGTGCACCCCAGCCCCTACTTTTATTCTCATTACTGCTTAGCAAAACCTTACAAATCATGGGATGGGGAAAGAGACCTAAAAAAAGTATTCTTGGGGATAAAAACACCAAAACATGGCTGCAGTTCAAGCAAGCCGCAGGCACACACAGGCGGGGCTTCAGGAGGTGACTGGCTTCCGGGGGCTCCCAGCTGATGGCCGTTAGGAGGCAGGGCCTGGTCCAAAAAAGCCCAGTCCCCGGAGGAGCACCCGGGAAGGGCTCAGCTCCCTTACTGGCTCCTTCCTTCGCGGTCGCTCTTGGCTGCCACGAGGTGAGCCGCGTTTCCTCCACTATGCCCCTCTGCCACGCCAGCCTGCCTGGGAGCCAGCGGACGATGGCCTGAAAACCACAAGCCAAAATAAACCCATCTTACTTTGTGTTGCGTATTTTGTCCCAGTGATGAGAGTGACAGTGTCCCTGGACTTGACAGATCTCCTTGCTTCTCACCCTTAACAGCAGCCCCAAGAGGTGGCTGCTTCTTATCTCTTTCCTTCAGAGGAAGACACTGAGGCTGGGGAAGTCAGCAAGGGGTCAAGGGAGAGCCGGGTCTGCAGCTGGTCCTGTCACCTGAAAGTCCCCACAGGTCACCTGGGTGGGGTGGGCAGTGCCAGCAGCAGGTGGCCATCAGGTCCACTGGAAGGCCAAGCCAAGTCACAGACTGGGAAAAGGCAAGGCAAGGACTCTCCAGCCTCACACCAGAGCAGGCGGGGACAGGCCTCCAGCCACACTAAGCGGCACCAGCCCCTACAAAGCACCCACTTACTGGGTGCCAGCCATGGTCCTCGGCCCCCATTCGCCTCCTGACTAACCGAACCTTCCACTGACATTCCAGGCACTATGCAGCCCTGACCCAAGGAGCCTGCTCTGTCGCTCCACATCTGCGGGCTCATCTACCCCTCAGGACGAGCCTGCAACGCTGGTGACACTGGCACACTGACGCAGGGGAGGGAAGTCCGTCTCACAGGCTGGGCACTGACCCATCTGGGGGCCCAGTGGGAAGAATTCACTTAACACAACCACACTGAGCCTGGGCTGGGCCCATACTCGGCACCCCAGTGACTGACACACTGAACCCTCAGGACAGCCCTGCAGTTTGGGTTCCAGGACCATCTCCTCTTGCAGGTGAAGAAACTGAGGCCACACAGCCTGACTGGAGGGCAGAGCTACACTGCAGACCTCAGCATGGACGCCAGCCTGGGCTTTCCACGGGACAGTGAGCCAAGCAGCACATGCACAGTGAAGTTCAATTTTTAAAGTAATAAAGGAAAACAAACAACAGCTAACACAAAACTTAGGACAGCCATGGAGGAGGAGGATGGGACAGGCAGACCCACAGCCTGAGAGCCACAGTCATGGTGGATTCCCATAGCTGAGAAGTGTGTACACTGAATTCATTTAACCTTTAAAAAAAAGACAGAGGTGCGTTCTGTGTATCTTTTGGTGTCTGTGAATACATTTACAACTTAAATGTACAATCATACTTAAATACAACAAGCGCCTGCCTGGCAAGCGCAAGGTCCTGAGTTCAATCCCCAGTACCACAAAAAAAAAAAAAAAAACTAAATACGATTACAATTTTAAGATGAGGGAGGATGGCAGGCTCACCAATAGGAATGGGACATGACAAGAAGGGGTTACAAAGCAGGACACAGGCCTGGCCACAGGCTCATATATAGCAGAAGAATCCAGCCAAGCTACCTGGGGAAGGAGACCAGCTAGGAAGGGAGAAGGCAGGACAGGCCCTGGAAGGCTAGCTCAGCCATGACACTCCAGAGAGGAATCCACAAGAACAGGAAGAGAGTGCGAGGGGCCTGGCCTGGGAGTGGGAACACAGTGGCCGCCCTCAGGCTAGATGGGACCCAGCCGTGGCGCCTGTGAGGCCTACAGGGGTCAGCAGGTTGCTGCTCCCTCTGCCCAGCCCTGGCTTGAGCTGCATCTTTTCCAGGCCACTGGCAGGGAGGAAACATCTACAGGAACCACTGGGCAAGTAGTGTGACTGCAGTGGGTGACACCAGGGGCATGGAGCAGGGAAGGCGCAAGAATGTCAGGTCACACGTTCCTCCTGCCCTTGTGCCACAGGCCTGCACCAGGCCTGGCACTGAGGAAGTCCCACACCTGAGGGGCTGGCCCGGGAGGCCGAGTCTGATTCCCGTCCTACACCCCTCACACTCATCTTTTTAACACTGGATGCCAAAGTGAGGGGTGGGGGAGGTGGGGTGCAAGGCTCTGGAGGACCACAGGGGTAAGCGGGCCTGAAGCCTGAAAAACTCTACCCAGCATTAAAGGATGCTATGGCGAGAAAACCATGTCACGAAGCCGACAAAGACGTCATCCGAAGAGCCAGGCCTGTTCATTCACCCCCAGCGATGAGCGGCAGCCACAACCAAAACAGTAACAAAATAATAACAGATGCCATTCGCTTGACGAGCACTATCTCTGATGTCACCACCACCCTGAAGGAAGGGTGTTTACCCAACTGCCCAGAAGAGGAGTCTGAGGGTCAGAGAGGGCACATTATACTTGGCCAGCTGAGGAAGCAGAGGAGCCAGCATTCAAACCCAGGCCTATCCCACCAGAGCCAAGGCTGCACCGCCACTTCCTGCCCTGATGAGGGATCTCTCCACCCGGTTCCTGGCCACACAAGCAGGATTGCTGTGGCCAGTACCTGATCCTCAGCCACTGTAGAATAAGGCTGCCTGTGTCCACACAGAATGCACAGTTCCTTTCCATTCTGCAGATGAAGAAACTGAGGCTTCTTCTCTGAAAGCTGGGCCACGCCCAGGAGACTGAAACATTCAGAGTGCAGAGATATGCCAGATGCAACTTGTCTGATATCACACTGCAAAAGCAGCCCAGCTGGGCTCTGACCCCAAGCAGTGAGGCTTCCGAGCCTGAGCTCTTAACCTCTCCACATCGCTGGCCTCCAGGAGCTAGGGCCAAGTCCCGCCTGGGCTGAGCCGGCTGACCCTGTACTGCCTCTGCTCCTGGCCACCCCAGAGCCCCCAGCTGCACATCCGAGCCTGAGGAGTCCCCTGGGCCAAGGGCAGTAAACCGCCGCCACCTGCTCCTGCGTGGTGAGCAGGAGCAGGCAGGGCCTCCCGCCTAACAGAGGAAGTTCCGGGCCGACACAGGAGGCCTGCTCCGGGGTTCCAGCCCCGCCTGGGTTGAGGACAGGCTGCTTCCAGTGCCCGTCCTGCAGGAACAGGACATAAAGCCCCTCTCAGCCACCAGGCCGAGGGGCATTGCCCCTTTAAGCTGTCGGTAGCCGGATGGCATGCCCGGTGGGTGAGTCAGCACCCAGTGCCCGCTGACTCACCCACCGGAAGCCTGGCAGCCCCAGCCCGCTCCCCACATGGCTGGCTGAGAACTTTGCTCCCTTCAGGGCCTGAGCCACAGGCTGGCTGATAGAGAGTTTCCTGTGCGTCACACCAGGGGTGGGGGGAAGCCCCGGAGGTGCCACCCTCCAATCTTTCTGATGGCCGGGACAGGAGGGGGCCTGCAACCACAGCAGGAGGGCCAGGCTGAGACCGTACTCCCTGCAGCTTTACCGGACAGCCAGAGCAGCCACGCTAAGATCACCGTGCAGTGCCCCGCAGCGGCACTCCCAGGCAGCAGGCGCAGCAACATGACACAAGGACAAATGTGGCTTGCAGAATGGGACCCTGCTGATCACATGTGCCCCTGCACACTGGCCCCAGCACCAGCTGCCCTTGGCCTCTGATCCCAGCCAGAGATGGTGTGTGAGGGCCGAGGCCGAAGAAGCAGAGCTGCACGGCCTGCAGGTCTCATGCACTCAGGGAAAACTCCCAGGCCAGACAGAGGGGACAGGTTAGGCGCCTGCTGCCAGGCAGGAAGCTCAAAGGTACAGCTCCGGTAAGGTCAAGTGCCAGCCACTCCCTGCTTTGTTCAAATTCCTTTGAGAAGGTGGAAAAGAGCTCCAACCCGGGGCTCAGTGCCCAGGACAGGGAGGAACTGGCGAGGACCCCTGCTCTGTACAGTCAGTTCAGCCACTCCCCGCGAGGCCTCAGTTTTCCAACGGATGGGACTGCTGTGAGTATGCAGTATGCCAGCTACCCGGGTCTGTGCACACCAGAGGCAGCACTTCTGCCTTGGTGCACCCTCCAGGCTCGGCTGCCCTTGGAGACACCACAGGGCACGGCTGGGATACAGGGAAGGGATGGGCGTCCTACAGCTCAGCTCAAGCATCCAGTGCAGGAAGGGGACAAGGGACCAGATGCTGAGGGCCTGCCCCTACTTGTCACAGCCACGTGGTCCTGTCCAGGACACAGTGGCCCTGAGCCGCAGTCCTCCTTACCTGTCAGTGGGCTATGAGGAACAAATGGACACGGCACCTGAAAAAACTTGACATGTGGTGTCTGCGGCTCCCCCACACACGCTTCTCCAGGCCCCAAAGAGGCTGCCAGGTCCCACATCCGATCCACCCAACAGCATCTGCTACCCGGCTCCACAAGCGGCAAATTCACCCTGACTCTCTCTGCAGAGAGGCCCTGGGAGGGCAATGCCAGGCCTCAAGTCACACAGCACACAGGGGTTCGCGGCATCCCCCAACCTCCACAGCACCTTTCCATCACACCATGAGCCCCTTTCCCTTCACCATCCACAACTGCAACTGTTGTTCTGGCGGGGGTCTCCTGCCTGGAAGACATGACATGCCTCAACAACAAACACTGCTCCCAACCCTTCCTTAGCACTCCCAAGCCAAGTGTCCGATTTCCCGGTTCCCAAGCTCCACGAGGCCTGGGGATGGCAAGTCCCTCCCCGCCACCTCCCCAGCGAGTGCCTCCGCAGTTACTCACAGCGGTTAGGCAATGGTCAGGGATCCAGCCTCCCACTTATGTAAGACATAATTACCCTGCCCACCCAGCTCAGCCCACAGCCACCACAGCCACCAGCAGCAGGGGCCAGGAAGGGCCCACAACTTCCCCAGGACCCCCGGGGGTTCCCCAGGTCTGAGCCCCTCCAAGGAAGAGGAAGAGGAGATAACCCTTGCTGAGGAGCCCTCTAAGTGCCTGCCGGTTCCTTCCGCCCTCTGCAGCTGCAGTCCAGAGGCAAGGCCCTGACCTCACACGGCTGAGGCCTTTCCAGCAAGAAAAATAGCAACAAAAACAAGATTTGCAGTGGTAGCCCCTTTCTGAGCACCTACTGTGTGCTAGGTGCATGCCGAGCTCTTTACCACCTCACCCACACTTGCTCAAAGCGTTTCTGCAGTCACGATCTCATGTCATATTCCTGATACTCGCTGTGCAGACACGGAAACTGAGGCCCAGAGACACGACGAGGCTGCCAGGAGGAGGCAGCAGCAGGCTGAGGGAGCCGAGGCGGCCCATTCATTGCGGCTATGTCCGGTTTGGAACTCTCACAGCCCAGCCTACCGAGACTCCAACTTGCCAGAAACATCCTTTCCTCTTCCTGAAAAAAATCCCCCTTTTGCCCTCCAAGTCTCATCCTCCCCCCTCCGCGTGACAAATCCTGCTGCGGCGGCTGCCCCAGCGCCACCGCCACCTCACAAAAATTTCCAGGAAGGCCAGCTACTCGGAGAAGACAAGAGCAACCCCCCGCACAGCCAGCACCCCGTTCTGGCGCCAGCCAGGCCCTGGGCAGCAGGCGCAGGCTGGGGGCACCCGCGGCACTGCAGGGGAAGCTCGCAGCCCAAGTCGGGAGGAACCCCAGAGGGGCGCAGTGCCAGCGAAGGGTGGGCGGCCGAGCGACCGCCGAGACGGGGCTGCGGGGCCGGGAGCGGGCCGGGGTGCAGGGCGGGCCCCCGGCTGGAGAGA